TTTCCATCACCCTTTATGGAAAGGAAAATCCATCTTTTGCACCCACCTGGGGAGGACAGGACCCTTTCAATACCTTCAGCCCCTCCAAGTAAGCCCTGCCATAGGAGAAAACTCCTTCCCAAAGATGAGGCTTCCACAGGATTCCCACCAAGCAACCCCTTCCATCGAGGGTGTTGCTTGCCAGACCCCTTCTGCCAGTGTCTCATCTCAACCCTTCCTGAAACCCACTTCATCAATAGAGGACATGGGACAGGATGGTGCCCAAAGCCTTTTCTTCTGAGCGAACAGGGCTACGCAGCAAAACAACCAAAAGCTTCCTCTGCAGCTGGGCTCAGCCTGGTAACAGGATGGATACCACTGTACTGCAGAAGCTGCCCGAAACCCACATCCATTCTGTCCATTCCTCATCTCTCAGCTCAAAAGGATCCAAGAATTTTGGTCTGATGATCTCCAGGGATTAGAGGAAACCACGGCAAGATATTGCTGTGTCTGGATCTCCTGTGTCCTACTACTCCAACCATCTCCACCCCAGCTCAGACACAGCAGACACCCCCGGGGTACAATTCACCCCAGCTGTGAGGCAAAGGAAAACAGTTGATTTCAAAGAGCTCCTTGGTTTAACTTCTCCTTACCCAGGTGTGCACCTACAGCCCAACTCTATTGCCCCTAATAGCAGATCTGCATGCTCTCAGGCACCCAGAACAGGTATGGACTGAGCAGAGAGAAACAGAACTGCAGTGAGCAGGCAAGATCCTGCCAGCTAAACTTTCCTGGTTCAAAGAAACCCATCCGTGCTCCTTGGTCCTGCCGTAGGCCAGACTGACCAGCGCCGGGAGCAGCACTTCCCATCACAAACTCCTGTTTTTGACCCGCTGTCCAGAGCCCTAATGCCAGACACCCCCTATCACCTGGCCATGGCCTTGCTGGGTCTCAGCACGGACAAGGAGGAGATTTGGACCCCTCCAGTGTAACAGCTCCACACCTCAGCAAGCCTTAAGGCACCATGAAGGATGGCGACTGCCTGGCCTGCACCCACCACCATCACCATGTTCAAGTGCAAGGGTCAAGGGGCCGAGCCAACACTAACCTTCACTTCAGGGTGGTCTGGGGCCACCCCAAAACGGACGAGCCCAAAGGGAACAGGCAACTTCTCATAGATGTCCACTCGGGCCCCACCATGGTGCTGCAGAAGGAGGTCACAGTTAAGGGATGAGGACAGAGAAGCCACGTGAGCCCAGCAGCTCAGGAGGTATGTGTATGGCTCGCCTGCTGCTGGGGGAAATACAGGGCAGGAGGGAGGGTTGCACCAAGATCCCGGAATCAAAACCAGCTTCTTCCAGGCTCCTCCATGCACAAGATGATGCTCAGATAGCAAGGTGTAGCAGAGAACATGACCCAAACCACCATCAAACACCTCTCACAGGGGGCTCAATCCTCCTACCCCACCCCACAGCCCCTCTTTCCACGCTAACCTGGTGGCTATCCAGTGCCCAGGGGGCTGACAAAAGGGCCCCCACACTGGCTGGGAAGCACCCAAGGCAGCACCCTGGGTGCTGGTGGACCCACTGGGCCGCCTGCCAGCACCCGGCAGAGGTACGCATGCCCTGAGATCCCCCTGAGCTGAATAACCTCAGGGTCAGAGCTTTAGACAGATGTTTTGCTGCAAGGCTTTTGTTATCTCATATTTTGAGTCAGCCTCTTCCCAGAGATTAAGCAGCCCTGAAATTTGTCCCTGAGGCTTAGTAACAGCTATTTTCCAGCACGTACTAGAGACAACACAGCATGGTTTAATGACAGGGTTAAGCCGCTGCATCTCTGGTCTGTGCCAGCAGCCCAGTTCTGTGCTTGGTTCTTTGCATTTCCTGACAGAGATGTAACCACCTAAAGCACTAACGTTTACAGACAGCAGGCAAAGGATCACCTACATGCCCAGTTCAACTGGGTAGGAGGAGGCAGGAGAGCAGATCCTCATCGTTCCCTTTAACGCACGGTTAATGTCACCCCTGTTGGGTGAAAACAGCTCTAAGTGAGGCAGATCTCTGCTGCTTATTTGATTCTAGAAAAATCACTTGGGCTGAACTTGCAGCAGGGCAGGGACAGGGGCAGCGGTGCTCACCCCAGGCGAAGGGGACCAGGAGGACACTGTGGGGTCTGACCTGCCCCAAGCAGCCCCCCAACACCACAGGCCTGGCTGCAGCGGGACTGAGAGCCCACAAACCCACCTCCCACCCCCCTTAGAGCCAGGCAGCGTGGAGACGCCTCCCTCAGCAGGTCCCTGCCCTCATCGACAGCCAAACCCCACTCCGGGTACCTTGAGGATATGCTGAGCCGTGTAAAACCCCGCGGGCCCGCTGCCCACCACACAGACACGAGGAGCCGGGACGGGTGAGGACAGCCACCGCTGGAACCCTGGAGGTGTGAGGGACAGAGAGGACGTGAGGCCACGTCAGGTGCCAGGCCCGGCTGCAGCCCTTCCCTTGAGCCCAGCACCGACCCAGAGGAGCTCGTCCCCCCACGCCCGCCATCGCGTGCAGCCGGGCGCTGGAGGAAGGCCGGGGTTTATTTATGGAGGAAGGCTGGGGTTTATTTACGGAGGAAGGCCGAGGTTTATTTATGGAGGAAGGCCGAGGTTTACGTACCCAGCCCAGCGGTGCGGCCCCCTGAGGAGGTTTGAGGTGGCAACGCCTGGGGGTCAAGGCCAGCGGCCCCCACGCTCGGTCAAGCCTACGGCCTTGGCGCTTACGGCTGGGCTGGCTGGCGCCCGGTGGTGCCAGAGGGGCTATCAACTGCCCCGGAGAAAGCACCGTACCCGAGATGCCCCCA